AAATATGCTCACCTAGGCTCTGACATGGTCAGGGTGCTGTGGGATGAGTGAGGAAATAAGAAATAGGGTTGGTAGTGGAGTAGTGACGGCCTGGCGCTGACTAGGCCTAGTGGTTATGGTTGCTGGACCTCCAGCCGCCTCTTTCTTGTGTACTGTCATTTGGGCAATTAGGATACAAGATAGATGAAGGTGTTTCTAGAGTGTGTATATAGTGTTATGTTGAATAAATACAGTGGTCCCTGCTTTTCGTAGTTCCCGGCAATCGTAAAATTCGCCAATCATAGGGGTATTTTTGTATAAACATGGACTCGCTTTTCATAGGTTGACTCGCGAGTCATAGTTCGTCCGGGACACGTACCCACGGCGTGAGCCGGGGCAGCAGCCAGTCTGGCATTGTTTACCAGTGAGCGAAGGTCCCCTCACGTGCTCCAGCGAAATATTTCATAATACTATTCCATTTATTTTAGTGCTTGCCATTACTAAATAAGCTACCATGGCTCCAAAGAAAGCTCCTAGTGCCAAGCCTGTGGTAAAGAAGGTGAGAAATACGACTGAATTTAAGAAAACCATCATTGAACAATATGAAAGTAGTACAAGTGTGGCCGAACTGTCCAGGATGTATAAGAAACCCTACACAACCTTATGTTCCATAGTGGCCAAGAAAAAGGAAATAAAGGATGCTGTTGTTGCAAAGGGAGTAACTATGCTGACAAAAATGAGATCACCAGTGCTGGAAGAGGTTGAGAAGTTATTACAGTGGACCCCCGCATAACGATATTAATCCGTTCCTGAGAGCTCATTGTTATGCGAAATTATCGTTATGCGAATGAATTTTCCCCATAAGAAATAATGGAAATCAAATTAATCCGTGCAAGACACCCAAAAGCATGAAAAAAAAAATTTTACCACATGAAATATACATTTTCCTATACACAAAGAGAAGGATACATGCACAATAGTAGAGTAGTACATGCACAATATATATTGTGCATGTACTACTCTACTAAATGAAGAATAAATGGCACTTACCTTTATTTAAGATGCAGCAATGACTGATGAGACACTGTGTCCTCGGAGTGCCTTTTCCTCCTGAGTACTGTAGGTCTTGTTTGGCATTGTCTTCCAGAACAGGCCTTATCACACTGTGTATGCCACTACGATTCTTAAATCTCTCAAACCAACCTTTGCTGGCTTTAAATTCACCAATATGAGCACTAGTTCCAGGCATTTTTCCCTGTTCACCTGGGTGTTAGTCGACTGGTGTGGGTTGCATCCTGGGAGACAAGATTAAGGACCCCAATGGAAATAAGTTAGACAGTCTTCGATGACACTGACTTTTTTGGGTTATCCTGGGTGGCTAACCCTCTGGGGTTAATTGTTTCTTGGTATTCTTAATAAGCCACACCAACAACGGTGCTACAGCAGCAGCAGCAGCAGCAGCTGACAGTGCTACAGCAGCAGCTGACAGTGCTATAGCAGCAGCAGACAGTGCTACAGCAGCAGCAGACAGTACTACAGCAGCAGCAGCAGCTGACGGTGGTACAGCAGCAGCAGCAGCTGATGGTGGTACAGCAGCAGCTGACGGTGCTACAGCAGCAGCAGCAGCTGACAGTGCTACAGCAGCAGCAGCAGCTGACAGTGCTACAGCAGCAGCAGCAGCTGACAGTGCTACAGCAGCAGTTGACAGTGCTACAGCAGCAGCAGACGGTGCTACAGCAGCAGCAGACGGTACTACAGCAGCAGCTGATGGTGGTACAGCAGAAGCAGCAGCTGACGGTGCTACAGCAGCAGCAGCTGACAGTGCTACAGCAGCAGCTGACAGTGCTACAGCAGCAGCAGACAGTGCTACAGCAGCAGCAGCAGCAGACGGTACTACAGCAGCAGCTGACAGTGCTACAGCAGCAGCAGCATCAGCAGTTGACCATGGTACCACAGTATTTCGATAATATTTCTCACCCTTTTTACCACAGGGTTGGCACTAGAAGCTTTCTTGGGGCCCATGGTCACTTATTTTGCAGATAAAATGACCAAAAACACTGTAATAATACGAAATGTTCCAATTGTATGCTTGGATGTTACCGCGGAGGCTGGCTGGTAAACAATGCCACCAGCGGAACATGTGAGGCTGGCTCAGGCCGCACATTAGACGCGTCTCGGACGAATAGCGTTGAGCGGATTTTTTAGCAGTATGCGAGGCAAAATCTTAGTGATAAAATGTATCGGTATGCTGATTTAACGTTATGTGATGCCAACGGTATGCGGGGGTCCACTGTATTGGTATGGATAAATGAGAAACAATTAGCAGGAGATACTCTTATGACTTCAATTATTTGTGAAAAGGCTAGGCAGTTGCATGAAGATTTGGTAAAGAAATTGCCTGCAAATAGTGGTGAAGTGAGTGAATTTAAGGCCAGCAAAGGCTGGTTTGAGAGATTTAAGAACCGTACTGGCATACACAGTGTGGTAAGGCATGGTGAGGCTGCCAGTTCGGACCACAAGGTGGCTGAAAAATATGTGCATGAATTCCAGGAGTACACAGAGGCTGAAGGACTTAAACTTGATCAAGTATTCAATTGTGACGAAACAGGCCTCTTTTGGAAGAAAATGCCAAAGAGGACCTTCATTACACAAGAGGAAAAGGCAATGCCAGGACACAAGCCTATGAAAGACAGGCTGACACTAATGTTCTGTGCTAATGCTAGTGGGGATTTCAAAGTGAAGCCATTACTAGTGTACCATTCTGAAAATCCCAGAGTGTTCAGGAAAAACAATGTTATGAAGAGTAAATTGTGTGTTTTGGAAATCTAATAGTAAGACATGGGTCACGAGGGAAATTTTCGTCGAGTGGTTCAATGAAGTGTTTGGCCCTAGTGTGAAGGAGTATCTCCTGTAAAAGAAATTGGATCTCAAGTGCGTGCTAGTAATGGACAATGCACCTGCTCATCCTCCAAACTTGGATGACCTAATTTTCGAGGAGTTTGGGTTCATCACAGTAAAGTTCTTGCCCCCGAATACCACTCCTCTCCTCCAACCCATGGACCAGCAGGTTATTGCAAACTTTAAAAAACTCTACACAAAAGCAATGTTTCACAGGTGCTTGACTGTGACCACAGACACTCACTTGACCCTAAGGGAATTTTGGAGAGAACACTTCAGCATCCTCCACTGCATAACCCTTATAGGTATGGCTTGGGAGGGAGTGACTACCAGGACTTTGAACTCTGCCTGGAGAAAATTGTGGCCAGATTGTGTCGACAAGAGGGATTTTGAAGGATTTGGGACTGACCCTAATGAGCCTATGTCTGTTGTAAAATCAATTGTGGCACTGGGGAGTTCCATGGGGTTGGATGTGAGTTTGGAGGATGTGGAAGAATTGGTGGAAGACCACAATGAAGAGCTCACCACTGAGGACCTGCAAGAGCTTCAGCAGGAAGAGCAACACATCACAGCTCAGAATCTTGCTGCAGAGCAGGACGAAGAGAGATGGAAGAAGGTGCCTTCTTCAGAAATTAAGGAGATTTTTGAAATGTGGGGTAAGATGGAAAGCTTTATGGAGAAACATCACCCTAACAAGGTTGTTGCAAGCCAGGTTGGCAACATGTACAGTGACAAAGTCTTGGGCCATTTTAGGGAAGTGTTAAAGAGACGCCAGAAACAGAGCTCTCTCCACAGTTATTTTGTGAGACAGGACTCCAGTGACTCTCAAGGTGGTCCTAGTGGCATTAAGAAAAAGAGAAGAGAAGCAACCCCAGAAAAGCAAATGGTACCTGAGGTGTTGATGGAAGGGGATTCCCCTTCCAAACTATAAACAATCCACTCTCTCTCCTCCTCCAGTCTCCCATACACTAAGAAGAATCTCCAATAAAGGTAAGTGTTATGCTGTTAATGTTTCATTCATCATTTCCCATTGTATTGTTTATGTACTACATGTATATTTCATGTTAAAAAATTTTTTTTAATACTTCTGGGTGTCAGGAACGGATTAATTGTATTTACATTATTTCTTATGGGGAAAATTGATTCGTAAATCGTAAATTTCATTTATAGTAGCGGCTCCAGGAACGGATTAATTACGAAAAATGAGGGACCACTGTAGATATATTTTCCTAACTAGGATTTTTGCCTAACCCTCTGTTAACCAACCCACTGAAGTAACAAATACTGGTTTAGCGCTTTCTGTTTTGACTGGGATAGTCCTGGGTGGCCTGTTTATGCCTGAGATGTGTGTAACTTGTACCTTTGCCCTTAGACAAGGCTCTAGCCCCCAGCTATCCCACCTTTTTGCATAACAATGGCACACTAGCTGAAGGCAGGGCAGCTCAGGCACTCAGGCCAGACGGACAGGCAGACACGTTCGGGACGAATGCCCTTAGCCAAATTCTTGGACATTAGCCGAGCCAATATTTTGACGCAAAAATGCGCCGCTATCCGATTTTGGCTTTAGCCGATGCCGCCATTACCCAAGGGTCCACTGTATACTAAAATTCTTTCAGATTCCCTTTTTAGATGGCTAGCAGTTTTGGAGATTAAAGGAATTACACACATTGACATCCACTCTATTCACATACATTTGCTGTCAATATAAATGAACAGCTGGTTTCATCAACTGGGTTTCAAAATTACAATAGATTTTACAAAGCAAATTATACATCTGGAATTGAAAAATGTATAACAGAAAGAAGATACATTTGCCACCAAAGATAGTAGCTCTGGGGATACTACTGAAGCAAGTCTGTAAAAGAACAATATTTAGTGAAGGCCAAATAATGGGTATTAAATTGTTTAAAATGATGTTTATGGCATTGTCAACTATGGTAAAAGTCTTTATAAATTAGATTTAATTGGGTATAAATGAATGGTGTATGACACATGATACTTGTTGTGGTGTGCAATGAAAATGTCATGAGAGGTGTGGAAATTTTGAAAAGATATAAATGGCACATTTAAATGCTATGTGCTATCTACTTTTGCCACATGAAAGAGAAGAAAGACATTCCTACCAGAATTAATATCCACAACGAGACCAGGACTCTTGATACCATGGAAGTACATCATGTCTCCTAAACTGCCATCAGTTAGTGCTGGACTGAAGATTGGAATTTTGTTTTTAGCTGCCCAATAAGCAATACTTGATGGATCGTTGATTTCACTTCCCAGCCGTGCAATGATCTTCGATGGTGTCCAAACAATATCCTGTTAAACATAATGAGCCCAAAATAATTCAGCAGAGATCAATTAAAAACAGAACACATTAAAAACAAGCCATTTGTTTTATAAAGAAATATTTTTTTTTGCATTTATTGTACAATGGTAAAAACAAAAATGTGTATGCATGTGCATGTGTGCAAAATGAATAAAAATTAAATAATAAATGTTTATCCAGGGCAATGGTATTTTCCTTCTAGAGTTTTCTCTCTATGGGTAGCCATGATAAAAATAACTGTTTTGGCAGACTTGTACAGTGGAACCTCTACTTACGAGTTTAATCCATTCCATGACCTTGCTCGCATCTGGATTTGCTTGTTTGCAGTCAATTTTCCTCATTTAAATTAATTGAAATGGAATTAATTCATTCCAATGGAATTTCAGGCATGAGAAAATACTACTTCAATAATTTCCCCAATATCAACCCTACAGCTTATTTTATCTATCACAATTCATGTACTATGACATAATAAACAATATTAATAACACAGAAACAATACAGTGGTCCCTCGTTTTTCGTAATTAATCCGTTCCTGGAGCCGTTACTATAAACGAAATTTACGATTTGTGAATCAATTTTCCCCATAAGAAATAATGTAAATACAATTAATCCGTTCCTGACACCCAGAAGTATTAAAACAAAAAAATTTTTTACATGAAATATACATGTAGTACATAAACAATACAATGGGAAATGATGAATGAAACATTAACAGCGTAACACTTACCTTTATTGGAGATTCTTCTTAGTGTATGGGAGACTGGAGGAGGAGAGAGATTGGATTGTTTACAGTTTGGAAGGGGAATCCCCTTCCAGCAACACCTCAGGTACCAATTGCTTCTCTGGGGTTGCTTCTCTTCTCTGTTTCTTAATGCCACTTGGACCACCTTGAGAGTCACTCTAGTCCTGTCTCGCAAAGTAACTGTGGAGAGAGCTCTGTTTCTGGCGTCTCTTTAACACTTCCCTAAAATGGCCCAAGACTTTGTCACTGTACATATTTCTCACCTTCTTTACCACAGGCTTGGCACTAGGAGCTTTCTTTGGAGCCATGGTAGCTTATTTAGTACTTGCAAGCACTAAAATGAGTGGAATATTATGAAATATTTCGTAGGAGCACTTGAGGGGACCTTCACTCACTGGTAAACAATGCCAGACTGGCTGGGTAAGGAGGCCGCCCCGGCTCACACCGTGCATACGCGTCCCGGACGAACTACTATTCGCGAGTCAACCTATGAAAAGCGAGTCCATGTTTATACGAAAATACCCCTATGATTGGCGAAATTTACGATTGCCGAGAACTACGAAAAGCGAGGGACCACTGTATATAGACCAGAATGAATAAAATACATGTCATTATGTATGTGGCTAGTGGTGGTGACAGTGGCCATTGTTGTTGTTGGGATTTATAGGGTCACCACAGTGGCCTTACTACATATGTAGAGAACCTATGATAACACAAAAAAAGTCAGACAGAGAGACTTATAAGTGCTACACTTAACTGCTACACTCTTAATGCTACACTTTGCCACTGCTTCTTCATGTTGTCTGCCACTGCTACTTCATGTTGTCTGCCACTGCTACTTCATGTTGTCTGCCACTGCTACCTCATGATGTCTGCCACTGCTACCTCATGATGTCTGCCACTGCAGCTTCATGATGTCTGCCACTGTTACTTCATGATGTCTGCCACTGCAGCTTCATATTGTCTGCCACTGCTACCTCATGATGTCTGCTCCCACTTTCGCTAGTGTGTTGAAGAGCTTTCCAATATGTGAAGGTTGAGGGGCAGTGCCAATCGGACAGGTACTGGACAGTGACGTCATTAGTTAACTCTTGAACATCGCCAAAGAATCAAACATTTCTGCTGCTTTGAGATCAATTTCAATGTGCTTTTCATCGAGATACCAATCAAAATCATACCTATTTCTGTAGTATATCTTCCATTCTATCAAATGAGACCTAAAAAAACGAGAATAAAACCATAAAAACCATATGAAAATATACAGCTAAGGGAAGGCTAATGGCTGAGAAGTGAACTTCATTATTTATGGTCCGATTTCTTTCATTTTTGGTGTACGCTAAGAAGCATCTTCCCATCATACAGTGCCCAAGTTTCAATAAGACAGTCCAACAAACAACTGAGATCTAATTCCCTAGATCAAGAGCAAGAGCCCCTCACCAGCGTCAAGGATCCTCCCTTGAGGCCCGCTCGCATCTGGAAATTTCGCACGCGTCTGGAAGCATGTATCTGGAAAAACTCGCACGTGGATGCACTCATAAATAGAGGTTCCACTGTAAATATTTTTAACACATCAGCCATTTCCCACCGAGGCAGGGTGACCCAAAAAGAAAGAAAAACCCCAAAAGAAAGAAAAAACTTTCATCATCATTCAACACTCGCCATCACTCATACATAATGAACGTCTTTGCAGAGGTGCTCAGATACAACAGCTTAGACGTCCCTCTAAATTGCCAATATCCCAAGCCCCTCCTTTAAAGTGCAGGCATTGTACTTCCCATTTCCAGGACTCAAGTCCGGCTAACCGGTTTCACTGAATCACTTCACAAAATATTACCCTGCTCACACTCCAACAGCTCGTCAGGTCCCAAAAACCATTTGTCTCCACTCATTCCTAACACACTCACACATACTTGCTGGAAGTCCAAGCCCCTCACCCCCAAAACCTCCTTTACCCCCTCCCTCCAACCTTTTTGGGGATGACCCTTACCCTGCCTTCCTTCCCCTACAGATTTATATGCTCTACAAGTCTTTCTACTTTGTTACATTCTCTCTAAATGACCAACCCACCAGAACACCTCCAGGCGCCTCATCGCTGCAGCATTTACAACCCATGCTTCACACCCATATAAGAGTGTTGGTACCACTATACTTTCGTACATTACCTTCTTTGCCTCCATGAATAACGTTTTTTGTCTTCACAGATGCCTCAACATACCACTCACCTTTTTTCCTTCATCAATTCTACGGTTAACCTCATCCTTCATAAACCCATCCGCTGATAAGTCAACTCCCAAATATCTGAAAACATTCACTTCTTCCATACTCTCTCCCTCCAATGTGATATCCAATTTTTCTTTATCTAAATCATTTAATACCCTCATCACTTTACTTTTATTTATGTTCAATTTCAACTTTCTACCTTTACACACCCTCCCAAACTCGTCTGCTAACCTTTGTATGGTAGGGCCCCACTTAAAGCAAAAATTGCCAAAAAATGGAACACCATTTTTTCCACTTATAAATGCATATAAATGCCAGACAACAAGTTTACATTAACTTATAGTAAGTTAGCAATAGAACCAGGCATTAAAAAACACAATAGAAAGTAAAATACACACACAGTACACTTATTATTTACCTTAAAATATTAATATGAATGTGTGAGAGGTGAGTAGCATTGTATTTATTGAATAAAATCAGGAGATGGCACACCATCATCCTCTGACTCTTCAACACCAGAGTGCACCTTCACCCTGCACTCTAATTTTCTGAAGTTGACTTCTTTCCTTAAACCTATTAAATCAGCCTCAGCAGCTTCCTCACATCTCTCAGCCTTCAGAGAACTGAAGAGACTTTGGGCCTTGGACTGGATAATGGCTCAGCTTAAAGGCACATTGTGTCTAGTCCGATCATCAATCCACACCATTAAAGTTTTTCCATGTCAGCAATAAGGTTATCTTTCTTCTTTCAACACACTGGCTGTATCCCACCGAGGCGGGGTGGCCCAAAAGGAAAAACGAAAGTTTCTCCTTTTACATTTAGTAATATTTACAGGAGAAGGGGTTACTAGCCCCTTGCTCCCGGCATTTTAGTCGCCTCTTACAACACGCATGGCTTATGGAGGAAGAATTCTGTTCCACTTCCCCATGGAGGTAAGAGGAAATAAACAAGAACAAGAACTAGAAAGAAAATAGAAGAAAACCCAAAGGGGTGTGTATATATATGCTTGTACATGTATGTGTAGTGTGACCTAAGTGTAAGTAGAAGTAGCAAGACGTACCTGAAATCTTACATGTGTATGAGACAGAAAAAAAAAAGACACCAGCAATCCTACCATCATGTAAAACAATTACAGGCTTCAGTTTTACACTCACCTGGCAGGACAGTAGTACCTCCCTGGGCGATTCCTGTCTACCAACCTACTACCTAGAATAAGGTTATCATGTTTTCTTATAACTTAAGTGGTCACTTGTGTAGCACTTTAAATTTCCTGCAACTGTACTGTTTGACGAGCCAAACCAAGCTTACATGCTATCTCAGCCATAGACATAACTTGTTCACTAGGTTTATTTATTTCTAATTTGGCACCCAAAGTAAGAGGCTTATGATTCCTTTTTCTATCACAACTAAGCTTAGACGCCATCGTCAACGAGTTATTGAAAGAGAGAACAAGATATATGGAGTTCAGACAATGTAAATGCACAAACTGAATGGGTGGTGGGCGGTCGCTCGGTTAGACGAAATAAATGGGTATTAATACGTGTACAATTTTAGTTCATTCACATACGTTTGTAAGAGTTTTTGAAACTTTTACCTTGCAATATTCTTTTTTGATTACAATAACAATTACCTCACAATATAAATACTCTTACATTGTGTACAAGTTGGTACAATAAAATAAATAAACAGCAACACTCCCATTCTCATGCAACACCATTTTTAGAGTGAATGACGATTTTTTATTATTATTTTTTTTTATTATCACACTGGCTGATTCCCACCAAGGCAGGGTGGCCCGAAAAAGAAAAACTTTCACCATCATTCACTCCATCACTGTCTTGCCAGAGGGGTGCTTTACACTACAGTTTTTAAACTGCAACATTAACACCCCTCCTTCAGAGTGCAGGCACTGTACTTCCCATCTCCAGGACTCAAGTCCGGCCTGCCGGTTTCCCTGAGCCCCTTCATAAATGTTACTTTGCTCACACTCCAACAGCACGTCAAGTATTAAAAACCATTTGTCTCCATTCACTCCTATTAAACACGCTCACGCATGCCTGCTGGAAGTCCAAGCCCCTCGCACACAAAACCTCCTTTACCCCCTCCCTCCAACCTTTCCTAGGCTGACCCCTACCCCGCCTTCCTTCCACTACAGACTGATACACTCTTGAAGTCATTCTGTTTCGCTCCATTCTCTCTACATGTCTGAACCACCTCAACAACCCTTCCTCAGCCCTCTGGACAACAGTTTTGGTAATCCCGCACCTCCTCCTAACTTCCAAACTACGAATTCTCTGCATTATATTCACACCACACATTGCTCTCAGACATGACATCTCCACTGTAAGTGTAAGTAGAAGTAGCAAAACATACCTGTAATCTTGCATATTTATGAGACAGACAAAAGACATCAGCAATCCTACCATCATGTAAAACAATTACAGGCCTTCGTTTTACACTCACTTGGCAGGACGGTAGTACCTCCCTGGGTGGTTGCTGTCTACCAACCTACTACCTATAAAAGAGAAATGTATGTATAAAATTGTGTTACATGATAAATGAGTTCTCTAGTGTTCTCCACACACCTTACTTTTCTGTTCCTCAAACATAACATCAAGTCTTGGCATCACCCAATCCTCAAACTTGCAGTAGTTGTCATTGGGCACAATGAGGTTACCTATCCTATTGAGACCCTTAATGCGTAGATCCTTTCCCTTGAGATACCAGTCACCAAGGTATGTAGGAGCAAGGCACTTGATAAGGTCTTCTTCAATGCCACCTGCAGTGGTCACCAAACAGTCCACCAATTTATGCTCCACCAAAAATCTGGAAAAGAGAAACCAAGTCTTCTATTTTACTATTAATGTACAGTAGTTCACAAAAAATCTATAAACAGTCAACCAGGCAGTAATCAAACTATTATTGTATTACCATTACTTTGTGATGTAGGCTCTATGAACCAATATGGGTGTAGAAGCATGCCTGTTCAATTTCTGAAATCAACTCTTAGACCATATTTACACCAAATGCATCATTTTGTTCATATTTTCCTATGCATGTGCACTAGTGATTTCTCTCTAGTGTCAACATCACAGTGCAGGATCCTATCTCAATCTAATAGACCCTGATGAGGTAGAGTTGGCAAGGAAAGGTGGACGATATAGTGGCTCTGGAACCCTTAATTGTAGTTTTCATCTTTCAAAACTTTATATCTTTCCTGTGTTCAGGTTTTATGAACTATAGGAATTCTACCACCAGTACCCAAAATTGTGGCAGAGGCAGCTGAAAAGTCTATGGAGACCACCTCAAATGGAGAGCCATGAGACAAGATATACAATCTATGATATGGGTAATCTTTTTTAACCAAATTGCTAGATAGATATATCTGTTTTAGTTGCAAATAGAACATTTTAAATCCAAAGGTAGAGACTAGTCAGAAATGCCCTGATCATTGCATACAAAATTATATACATGGGGTAACATCACAAGAGACCATTCTTGAACAAGAGCAATACCAAGAGCCCAATCATCCCTATAGAAAACTAATATCAGGATTTTGAGAACTATCTTGGTGACTCCCAAACAGTCATCTAGCTATGTTATCTTGGTGACTCCCAAGCAGCCATCTAGCTATGTTAGATCCTATATTTATACTAATATGGACCACAGAATACCTATAATCAAAGCACTAATTCAAGAAAGTTTGACCATTAGTTTACAGTGCAGTCTTAATCTGACTGGGTCAGATGCCTTGGGTCATTTCTGTTGCCCAGCCTATGAGCACCCTAGCTCTCACATGAAGGGAGAGTAATTATCATTGTTTCTCAATACATGTACATGTATAATATAAAGTATCGTGGGAACACAACTCGTAACACTGGACAACAATAAATTTGCTACTTCTAGAAATGAAAGCTTTTTAGGTTATTATTAGCATGATGAAACTGAATGTAAAGTCAGAATTAACCCATCACATAAGTTGCTGGCAACACATGTGGTTGTATGTTACATGTATAGACTTAAATACACCTCTGAAGAAATCCCTGCAGCTGTCTGCTTACATGCATAAACATGAATTCTATGCATCATGCCTGCTTGTCAAAAAGAGTAGGAGAGCATCAGTTGTGCTCATTACTTAAATTGCATTTCTATCAGATACATATCCATGTTTACATCTGATTTTTTTTTTTTTTTGCTCTATTATACAAAATCTCTATTTCAGATTAATATAAACAGATGAGGATACCTGAACAGTGCAGCTAGAGCAGCTTTTGCAATGTATGTTGATCAGCAAAAAATATGATGAATCATGTCAACATTGCATACAAGCACTACTTTAGTTATAAGACAGGTGATCAACATAAAACATGGACTCCACACACATGCTGTACTGTTTGTACCTTTAAACTGACACAATGTTTGAATGAGAAACGTATATCAGTGCCATTTGCAGCCCCAATGGTGTGGTGAGAACAGAAGAATCATATGAATGATTATTACTTCTGCATGGTTAATGTAGCTTGTTTCTCAAAGAAAAACAGGAACAAGATAATATATCCAGATTATGAGTCAGAATTAAAACCTGTGTCACACAGAGAGGACACTCTTATGTCTGTTCCTCCTGTTGCTTGTGACAGTAGTGAAGAAACTGGTAACACTGATCTTTATGAACCGCCAGAATCTGAAACTCTGAAACATTCTCACTCTACAAGAGTTAAATGAGCTTCTTAGGGACCTTGACCTACAAAAGCAGAAGACAGAACTGCTGGGATCATGCTTACAAGAGTGAAACAATATTGTGTATTGTGTGTTTCTGCACTGATGTGAATAATCTTATGAAGGAACTGGGCTAGGACCACCATTCTGATGAATGGAGACTGTTCATTAATTCCACCAAGGTCAACTTGAAAGCTATGCTTCTTCACAGCAGCAATGAAAAGCCATCTGTGCCAGTGGCTCAAGCTGAGGGATTAACCCTTTGACTGTTTCGGTCGTATATATACGTCTTACGAGCCACTGTTTTTGACGTACATATACTCATAAATTCTAGCGGCTTCAAATCAAGCAGGAGAAAGCTGGTAGGCCCACATGTGAGAGAATGGGTCTGTGTGGTCAGTGTGCACCATATAAAAAAATCCTGCAGCACGCAGTGCATAATGAGAAATAAAAAACTCCGACTTTTTTTTTAATTAAAATGCCGACTTTGTGGTCTATTTTCGTATAGTATTTATGGTTGTATTCTCATTTTCTTGGTCTCATTTGATAGAATGCATATTATAGAAATAGAGGTGATTTTTATTGGTTTTACTATGAAAAGAACCTTGAAATGGAGCTCAAAGTAGGGGAAATGTTTGATTTTTGCCGATGTTCAAAAGTAAACAAATGATGTAATTTTCCAATAAATGTCCAAGTAGCCATTCTAATAAATAACAAAAAGGTACAATAACGTGACTGGAACAATACACAAATAACCCGCACATAGAAGAGAGGAGCTTACGACGACGTTTCAGTCCGACTTGGACCATTTACAAAGTAACACTAACCAGAATTGGAGCAGGACGGGTATATATAGGCAGGAAGAGGTAGTGGTGGTAGTATTAGAAGCAGTAGTGGTAGTGGTAGTAGCAGTAGTAGAAGTAGTAGTAGTGGTAGTGGTAGTAGTGGGGAATAAGGAGGAGGAGCCAGCCAAATACAATGAAAGGGGAGCACTGCAAGGCAGCTAGGTGCCCACAGAGGGAGAGCAAGTGCATAGAGGTGGGGGAAAGGGGAATAATGAAGGAACAGAATCACGAGAAAGAAGAAAGAAAGACAACCCAGAGGAGAAAGAAGGAAAGAGGAAAGGGGAAGAGGGAGAAGAAGAAAAAGAAAAAAGAAAAAAGAAAAAATGAGGAATCAGGTTAAGTCACGGGTGTTCTGAAGTTTGGAGCATTTTACAATGTATTGGGAGACGACGGCATCTACAGAGACGAAGCCAGGGCTAAGATTCTTAGTCCTGGCTTCGTCTCTGTAGATGCCGTCCTCTCCCACTACATTGTAAAATGCTCCAAACTTCAGAACACCCGTGACTTAACCTGATTCCTCATTTTTTCTTTTTTCTTTTTTATTTTTCTTCTTCTCCCTCTTCCCCTTTCCTCTTTCCTTCTTTCTCCTCTGGGTTGTCTTTCTTTCTTCTTTCTCATGATTTTGTTCCTTCATTATTCCCCTATCCCCCACCTCTATGCACTTGCTCTCCCTCTGTGGGCACCTAGCTGCCTTGCAGTGCTCCCCTTTCGTTGTATTTGGCTGGCTCCTCTTCCTTATTCTCCACTACTACCACTACTACTACTGCTACTACTACTACTACTACTACTACTACTACTACTACTACTACTACTACTACTACTACTACTACTATCACTACTACCACTACTGCTTCTACTACTACCACCACTACCTCTTCCTGCCTATATATACCCATCCTGCTCCAATTCTGGTTAGTGTGACTTTGTAAATGGTCCAAGTCGGACCAAAATGTCGTCATAAGCTCCTCTCTTCTATGTGCGGGTTATTTGTGTAGCCATTCTAATATAGTCATGATTGGGTTGACATTATTTATACAATTATTACAATATTGCAGTAGTCTGCATAACAGTAAATCTTCAATTTTTTGTTTGAATGAAAATTCAAAATAGAAAGCAAGAGTAATATCAGAGGGGCCTGGAGACGTGACTGATGAACAAAGAAAATGTTATTTTAGAGCCAGGAATGTCTGCATTGTTCATTCTGGACCCTATTTTGAAATTGTCATATTTTTTTTAGTTTTCGTGAAATTGGCCAAATTGCAAATTTCTGACCACGTTATTGGGTAGTTGAAATTGGTAAATGTACAATTTCTTATACTCACTCATTAGAAAAAAATGGAGTTCTAAAGAAATAGTTATGAGTTTGGTTGACTGCAACAATGGAATTAGCCAAAAATAGGGCTCAAAGTGGGCGAAATCGCCGATTCGTAAATATCGCTGAGGTTGCTAACTTCGCGAGAGCGAAATTTCGTCAGTTTTTCATCAAATTTCGTTCTTTTGGTGTCATTGCATTCGGGGAAAGGTTCTCTATCATTTCATAAGAAATTTTTTTTTTTTTTCGAAAATTTTGCAACACCAGGAGACACCTCAGGATTTGGGGTTGCGGCAGTCAAGGGGTTAAAGGAAACATACAAGTCCATGGAAATTCTACTGAGACTAATAACTGTGGAATAGTTGGCAATACTAACCACTACAAGATAAAAAAAATGGCCTGCAAGACCCAATTCCAGGAAAATTCAACATACAACATATGTTATTGGTGCATCCTCAAAAAATATTTCTTCCACCACTGTACATAAAGCTGGGCCTAATGAAAAACTTTATATAAAAGCTATGGATGGTGAAGGTGCAGGATTTCTTTACCTTAAGAAAAAATTTGAAGGAGTTTTAATTGATGCAAAACTTAAGGCCAGAGTATTTGTTAGGTCTCAAATATGTGAGATGATTTCCACCCATTGTTTCCACAGGTTGTTCAGCAGACAATTACGCCAAGTTAGTGCAAAACATGATACAAGCTTATATATAGAGCACTGGGTTGCCGTATGTCCTTAAAAATGCACTTTCTTCATTCACCCCTGGACTTCTTTTCAACTAATCTTGGTGCTGTTAGCCCTTAAACTGTCCAAAAGTAGATCTACGTTCACTTGTGTAGCACTCCGAATATTAAAATTTTTTTTTTTTTTTTAATGAAGAGCACATTTTCTACATGTTATAGGATTAAAAAAAAAATTAGGGTCAGTACTTACCGAGATATAAGATCGCAAA